ACAGGCTGTCTGGTAAGTTATCACAACCATTGGCTGTGATCTAACACTGAGAATGCTCAGAGGAATAAAACGCTTCTTCCAACACAGAGTAAAGTTCAATGCAAGGTCAGAAGTGATGTTTCAAAACAAAGGCTATCAGGCTGTAAAATTTCTGAGAGACATCAGATAGCCTTCCTCAAGATGAGTTACAGAGAAGTAATGCCTGAAAAGATATTCAAGGATCTGTGTTATTTTCTAGATGAAAAAGATGTGGGAGAGTGAAGGGGAGAGAAGACAGCAAGAGAAGGTACTCAGATCTGAGAAACAGACGAGTTGGGGAGACTGAGAAGATCCTACTAATAGACATAACAGATGTACCTCAAGTGATGATAAGGGTGCAGGCCAGGCCCCTGGAAGTGGACTCTACCCTCCTTCACTGACAACAAGAGCAAGCGAAGCCCTGCTTAGGGGTGAGTAAAGATTACTGCTGAGAATCCTTCCTGAACGTAATTCTCTATCCCTTGACTTTTGCTCAAATTAAATGCCATCCTTGTTCTCTGTACTCTCATTTTCTTTCATGTTTAAGGACTAGTTTTCCATCTTTGGGAGGAAAATAGAAAATGATCATTATGAGACACACAAATGGATCCACATGATCCCTGATAGAAAACAATATTTGCATATGTAACAAAAGGCACACAAGCCATACGTGTTCTTATCTCTTTATCTGCAACCCATAGGCACTTCACATCATACTGCCCACCTGAATTTGACAAGTTCAAATCAAGATGAGTAGAAGCATAAAGTATACACCAAGACCGACTATTACAGGAAAACAGGCAATTGCAGTGTACTGCATTTGTATTTCTTATAATGATTTCCTATTGGAATGGTAATAGGTTAGATATTATAGAAATAAACCGTACCATGAAAGTAATTTCCCTGTCTCAATGTACATTTTGCCACATGACTACTAGGTTATCTCAGATTAGCTCTATGGCTCCCCTGCTTCTCCTGAATAGCACAGCTTATACCACCAGTACAGATCTTTCATTGTCAGTGTGCTTATTCAGTTTTGCTACCCATGAAAATAGTCATTTAATTTAAAAGAAAACATTCATAAGAAAGCAACAAGACTTCTTCCCTGAGGACATGTCATAAAGAATTGCCAGTGTTCGCTCTCTTCATACTAAGCAAACAGTAAGCCATAGAACAGCACACAACTACAGAAAGGGAAAAAGGAGAGAGTCACAGCCTGGCACTAATGGTGCTTTTTGCAGGGCTTCTGTGATTAGGACTGTGTTTTCAAAGATACCATTCAGAAAGTCATTGGAGGGGGGCAGGGGTTGTGTTATGTCAGCAGAAGAGGCTCTTGCCGGTGGTATCGCCGGTGGTTACCTCCTTCACAAGAAGCACATACTCCCACAGTAACTGAGACCTAACTCCCAGTAGACGGACGAGAAGATGGAAAAAGGAATTTCCTTGTCCTCACAATGCTGCTCCCACATAGGAAGGAAACGCATGCCTCAGAGGTTTTACATCCATTGATTTTTTTTCATGTCAGTAAACTCTGCAAGAATATTCTTAAGTACTTCATCTCTACTTCCTCGTTAACTTTCTATTACCATTTCTAGGGATCTTTTTGCTCTTTATTCATGTGTTACATCTATACATAAACAGGTAAGTGTGAACATACATGTGCACATACATGTACATGGACACTAGCTTGTAAATGTCTGCATACAAATGTACATGTGTGCATGTAGACATGTGTGCATATGTGAATATATGAGCTGGTATAGAGCACATGTGCATAGGCTTGTATGTGAGCATGCATATACATATGTATATATGCATGTGTGTAGAACACAGATGCAAACACATGCATATGTGTGTAGATATATACAATTTCCCTCAAAGCTTATTGATTGGTATATATATGTATATATATATATATATTTATATATATATATATACATATAATTTTAACTCAATTCAGTGACTTAAAATAAGTAAGGTACAGAACTGATACCTTTACCACAAAGTTTCATCAAGAATTTTCAAAGAATAAAAGTCATTCATCTTATACAAATCAGAGAATTAATATTAATACATTTTAAGGTATGTTTTATTCATAGACATTCACATTTTATAAGTTGTCTTGATAACGTAACTTACAGAAACTAAAGTGTACGTTCCAGGATCCAATTTGGATCCAGGGCTGTATGTTATTCTTGTGCTCACTGGTGCTCTTCATTGAAGGAACACCTCTTCATTCTCTCACAACTCCATATTATATGAAGTGTAGAAAGAAGTGCTGTTGTTGTTAGCACAGTCTTCTGTGGAATTTATGTAATGATTGCTCATGTTGGAACATTTTAGTTGAGTTGGCACTGAAATGCTACTCTGTCCATCTTCAGTTCAAGAAGTCACTGCACTCATCCTTTCTTCCTGGTGAGGTTAGTTTGGACTATTAACTCTATAAGTAAGTGAAGCCACAAATTTCCATGTGAAGCCACAAATTTCCCTCAATTATTAAGTATTATATAGGTAAGCACTATGAACTGCCTACATATACTTGGATTAAAAAAAAGTAATAGCATGAGTCAGGTTCCCTTAAAATGATTTTCTAGTGTGACATCTGCCAAGTCATAATTATTTATTAAATAATTCCCCCAGTGCTCATTACTTGGGCTATTAAAGGGCTTTTCAATATTCAGATGTATTTTTATGAAAAAAGAGAGCAGTCTCTTCTGCCTCATTATTTTTTATTTCCTTTAATGTTAGTAGTTGCTTGTATATTCGTGTTTGACTCAGTGTTTGATCATTTGATACCACGTCTCTTCGATAATACAATTTCTGGAGATTTCTGGGGGGGGAGCCTACTGGAAGCTAGCTACTAGGTGCTTTTGTCATGTATTCTTCATTCTTTGAATATCCACTTCACTTCTGAAATGACACCCCTGCTATTTATTATCTGAGTCCTTGTAGCCTGCTACTTCTCCAAAAAACTCTGGGCCTATGTAGTAAGAATTTATGTGAATTACATGAGCTACTACCTGAAAAATAACACATCCAAGCCTTTTGACCATCAGATAGATAAAACAGGAAATGAATGGGTGTTCATATATTGACACATGCACATATATACACATCTATATGCCAGCTTTGAGTATATATGATATGATAGAAGGTATATTACATCATGAGACTCAAATGACCACTTCATATGATTCCTATATTACATCATGAGACTCAAATGACCATTTCATATGATTTCTATCTATGGAGAGGTCTAGTTTTATAACAGATTTTGCAAAATAATAATCCATGTTTTTAGTAAACTGTGGATATTTTAATTCACAGAAGAATTAATTATATGTTGTATATGTATTTATGGCATATATTATATATAAATATGAACTGTAAAGCCTAAATCTAGGTAATTAATATATGGATTACCTGACATCTTTTTCATGGTATTGTGGTAAGTATAGTAAAAAGCTAGTCTGAATGATTTCAAGCCTATAGTATATCATTATTAATTATATTTATCATGTTGCATACTAAATTCATTAAATTTATTCTTGTTTTCTAACTGGGTCATTAGATCCTTTGACCCACATATTCTCAGTTGCTTCATTTTTCCCCCACGTCCATACTGATACCATCTTGCTTTATGCTTCCATAAATCTCTCAGTTTTAGATTATGCAGATAAGGGAGACAACACAGTACTCAAGTTTATTTGCCAGGCTATTTCAGTTAACATACTCTGAAACTGTAGGTCATTCTGGTTACTTACTGATAAATATATAATCTTAACAACCAGTCAGTTTATTGTGTAATTGGTAAATATTAAACTGCAGTGAAAAGATAATTCATTGCTAACTGTGATGGCAAAATTAAGACAAGGATTTATTATACTTTTTTAAACCAAAGCAATGCACACTTGTGTGGAAATTGATGTATTTTGTCTTTTTCCCATGTCTTACTTAATTTAAATCATGATGCTACAGGACTGGTATTGATTGGGGCCATTCGCCAATGAATAAAACAACAATTACTAATAAGCCTAGAGCTACTAGATCACAAATCCAGATATGAGGTTCTTCAAAGATTAGGCTTTTTGCCAATATTTTCTTTGAGTGTAGGATTATTTTATATTAAGAGGCTTGCAAATAAAAGATAGATCTAATCATCAAACTCTCTTATAATGCTTCCTGAACATTCACAATAGTGGCATTGGAGAGAGGAAAAAAAATTACAAATTCTCTCCAATCACTTCTTAGAACCTAGGGCACAAGGATGATATTAAAATCCATTGAAGCATGTTTCCCAGAGGAGGAACAGCCCAGGGATTCTGGCATGGTCCATGAAATCCCAGAATTCAGGGGAAGGTGGGCATTCATGTCTTAAGCTTCTTTCTCTCCCAGAAGACTTGATGATCACACTTTTCTAAAACACCAGAAAAAAAACCCACAGAGGCTTTTGCATTTCAGATCTGCTATTAAAACAAATATTCATGAATAAAGAGCTGAAAATCGTTTCCCAAAATGCAATAACCAGAAATGCATAAATTGGATTTTTACCTACTGTTGTTTATTCGTTATTGTGTATGGCTGTTAGCCCACAGATTCATGTTTATATAACAATGAAAGGAAAAAGGAAACAAAGATGGTTCATAAGGAGATGATAGCTGAATGCCAGAAACTAAATAACCAATGATTTATCTAACAGCAACAACAGGAAAAGGCTCACAGAACTGAGAGCCTGTGTCCCTCTCGTTCTCCATCACCCAAAGAAGAATGTACCAGGATGACCACCAGGGAATGAACAGGCCATATCACAGCAGGGAAAGGCGAATGAGGGATTAAAGAAAGTGACATTTTGCATCACCTACAACAGCCCAGAGTCCTTTACACCTCACTGGGGAGGAAACCGCTCAGCCTTGGCTGTGTATTTCACTGAATCATGACTTAACTGCAATGAAAATGAGAGCTTAAAAATAAGTTGCACCTACCTGGATGAGAGAGAGATCCTCAAGTAGTAATCTGAAGAGGTAGTTTCTACAAAATACAAAAAGAACACATTCATTTTTAGTGAAGACTCCAAAAAGATACACATTATATTCAGAAGATTAAAGACTAAACATCCTTACTAGTTTTGGTTTCAAGACTATCCTATGGGTAATATATAGGTAATGCAGGTTATTTTGGACCAGAAAAAAAAGAGGTATTCAATGTCAAGTCACATCTGAAATTGAAAAAAACAGCTCACAGATAATCACTGATATTGTGTGTATCTGTGTGAGAGAGAGACAGAGAAAGAGACAGAGACAGATATGAGGGAATTGTAAGACAGCCTGTTGTTTTCTGGAAAGAAAACGTATGGATCATCAATTCTGAAATTCAGTTTAAGTAGGATGATATGATTCTCATCACTGGAACTAACCAAGTTTTATAATTAAATTTTTTAATTCACCCACACAGGGTACTGCATGCTTGTAATTGCAGCTATGACTGAGGAGATAATAGGAGGATCACAGTCCAAAGCCAGCCCTGGGTAAAATATGAGACCCCCTCTATCTACAAATTAGACAAAAATAAAAAATAAAAGAGCTGAGGCTAAGGCTCAAGACTTGCCTACCAAGCAAGTCTCTGAGTTCAAGTAGCAAAACAAAACAGAACAAATTAGCAAGTAAATAAATATAATTTGCTTAATTCAACCTATCTAAATCTTGTCTTGTTGGAGGAACTTAATTCAGAGACATGAAGCTGCCCGTCTGCCCAGGGAGCTGAGGCTATCTGGTCATAAGCCACCTCTGCAGTGACTTGAAATACAGAAAAAAAAAAGAAATGCAAACTACGAATTTTCAAGGAAAAGAATGCAAAGGAAGCCAGAAATCCCTACCAAATGCCCACGAGGTACACAAGAGATTTCCACTCAGGGGTGCTGGATGGAGGCGGGGACCTTCACGAGACAGGATCCACAGGAAACAACTGGGCCACTTGGAAGACCCATCTCAATAAATTCCTCACGAGTATTCTCAAAGGTTGTGTTTTTCTTAATATTTCAAGATCAACTCATCATATAGGATTATAATTTTGTTGCATAAAATCAGTAAAGTTATTAGCATAAATTCCTTCAGAAAGAGGGTGCTGTTACGTAAGTCAGGTAACAAGTACATAAGTAAACTGACAATATTTGATATTTGATAATACTAATGGATATTACTTAACCATGTTTACTCAATAAAGCTTACTTGAAAAATTTAAAACTGGAGTCATCAGAACTGTCTATAATTTTGAAAAGTCTCAATGTCTATTTCTCAGTGAGGATTTTGATTACATAAATTTCACCGTATTGTGGGATAGTGATATGTAGCTAAAGTTACGAACATGTTTTAACCTTCACAAGGGGCATTGCCATTATCATGGTCTATAAGGCTTATGAACTCTATGATCTTTGATATTACTACTATTTCTTCCACACTGGTGATACGTACATTTCTTTCCTTGTGCTTAGTGTGAGCAGTTCCCTCTATTTCTCTCATTCCCTCCCTCCCATCACTGCCCTTGAGTTGGTTAGTTCATCAATGTCCAGGGTAGCTGATGGGCCCCTCCTTTGTATTTTTTCACCTATTTCCACCTGATTCTGTACCCTCCTCCTCGCTTTCCCCAGATGTGCATATGTATATACCATATGTGAGGTCAAGAACATAGAGTCATCTAAAAATGATGCAACAAATTAAGAAGAGATCCTCTACAAAGGAGGAGGCAACAATGCTTGATAAGAAATGTACTCATTACCTTGCTCATGTAATTGTAACCCCTCTGTATGGTATTTTCACAATAAGAAAACTTATTAATTAAAAAAAGAAGAGGTCCTTTATTCTTGAGTCCTGTTTTCTTTCTCATATCTCCTTGCATTGTGAATTTAATATGCACATATCAGGGAGACCATGTGCCATTTGTCTCTCTGATCTTGGCTTGTTTCGCTCAGTTTGTTTGTTCTAGTTGCATCAATTTACCTGCAAATGTTATTATTTTGTCCTTTCTAATGACTATTTAATATTCCATTGTTTATAGGTACCACAATTTTTGGATCCATTCATCTGCAGTGGGGGCACCTGGCTATTGTGAACAGTGCTACAATGAACATGGAGGTACATGTGTCCATATATCCTGGTTCTTGTTGCTCAGAGTAGATGCCTAGGATTGGTATGGCTGGGTCATAGGGAAGATCTATGTTTAGTTTTCTGAGGTATCTCCAGACTGCTTTCCAAAGTGGTTGTATTAGCGTACATTCCCACCAGCAGTGCAGTAGAGTTCCTCCTTTTCCACATCCCCATCAACATTTGTCATTGGCTGAATTTAAAATATAGGCCATTCTGACTGGGGTAAGGTGGTATCTCAGAGTTGTTTTTATTTGCATTTCCTTTATGGCCAGGGTTGATGAACATTTCCTCATGTGTTTCTTTGCCATTTTCATCTCTTCTTCTGAGAAGTCACTCTTCAGCTCCCTTGTCCATTTAATGGTTTGTTAGATTTAGGAGGGATTGGTTTCTTGAGTTCCCTGTATACAGTGGATATTAGGCATTTGTCTGATATATTGTTGGTAAATATCTTTTCCCAATTGATTGTCTGTCTTTCTAGTTTGTTGATTTGTTTCATTTTTAAGGCACAGAGTTGGAAATTGCTTCTAAATGTTTAATACTCAGCAATGATCTATACAAACCATTCAATCAATTAGAAATCTGTAATACTGAGCATTTTACTATTCGGCTCATTGATTGAGATTTTCAAGTATTTACAAAAGAAACAATTACGGAATTCCCTATCCACCTTCCTCAGTCCTTGGCATCTAGCAAAACACAAAGCAGACTCCACTCATTTCACACCCCTTCATCAAACCATTGGGTTCCATGCACAATGCCAAGACTATTTTTGCCTTGGAAAAAAAAAAAAACAAAACTCCAGCCCAGCTAAGCAACCTGAGGGACCTGAAATCCCTATCAGCAATTGATCCATCACTGTTTAGGTCAATGACCTATGAAGTTAAAGGTTACAAAAAAGAAGGGAAATCTTCTAAAGGGAATAAAAAATTGATATTCCCAGATGTTGGCCACTCAGAAAGCAAAGTAAGATCTATGTCTTCTGCAAATGGCTGTTCTCCAGGGCGCTGGGCAGGAGGCAGCCACTTTATCTTCTGACTGTAAGAGCAGAGAGGAGGGAAACAATATATATGAGGTTCACAAGAAAGGCCACCAGGCTTTCCAACATGAAGGAGTAATGTTCTGGCTCCCATCCAACAGGGAATGCTAACCAAATGTTGTACTTAGCATCAGTTTCTCTAATAGGGTAATGCTCTCAACAACTTAAAGTATGTAAGTGGTCTCATTAATCTTTCTAACACCCACAAGTATAAATAGGTAGTTAGAAGAGTATTGGCATTATTCTGGGGAAAGGCTTTGGTGCAAGAGGTTAAAAGATTCGATTCTTAAGAGTGTCTTGGTTATACAAGGGGAGTTATTCCATATTACCATTTTTTCTTATCTTATTTCTTATGCTTTTATTTTTCTCTTTCCTTTCTTATATACAAAAGAAGTAAAAAATAGAAAAAGCAAGTTTCCCAACTGGTAAATTTAGTTTGGTTTTTTTGGCTATAGTAAATAAAAATATGCCATTGTCTCTGGATAGGAATCTTCTCTTTTGTATTCAAATGTCTCAGAATAAAATTAGACATTGTGCATTCAAATGCAATAAACCACATTACATTTAGGAGTAATGGTATGAGGAATACACAGATCCAATGGGCTGTATAATTCAAATCACAAAGCCATTAAATCTGGCAGATTCAAAATGACAATATTAAAACCTATTTGTCTGTCCCCCACTAAAAATGCAAGCAAGTTTTCTCCCTCTTCAAAGGAGTTTATTTCTTATTGACTTGCGTAGAAGAACTCATTCCTGGGTTCTATCACATCTCCATTGGGACATTAGCAACAAACCGCTAAGCACAACAATATATTCTCAGTGGGGGCTGAACAGATGAGGTTCAATTGCGTCTTCATGTAAAGGAATAAAATTCAACCTGCATTAAAGAAAAGGTTGAGCCATCATAAGCATATTAACTGAATGACTCATTTTATCTAGAGACACCATAAAACTTAACTCTGACCTCCATAAATTATGAAAGACACAGGTGTTTTAAAATGACATTCACTTAGAATAACTCAATTGCTCTCTGATGAATATGTCTGTAAAAATCAGAGAAAAACTTCAAGTTCTTATTTAATATGTAAGTCAGATGCCTGATCCAAATGAGAAGATAGAATAATGAAAGAAAGCAGACGTATATTATGCAATAAGAGAATGTAGGGACTGAAAAGCAAGTACATCTTTATAAAGCATTTTAACAAAGTGAGAGAAATGTTTCTTGTCCTTTAATAAAAGTTTAGATGAAGGCAGCTATAAAACGACCTGAAGACAAAACCTATCCTCACTTCTTCACCCCACCCTTCCCTCTCCCAGCTGTTTATATCCCCAAAGCAGTCTACCTCTGAGCCATAAGCATCTCACAAGGGTTGAAAACGCTGAAACTAAAATTATAACCATGTCCCTAATATTATAGCATCACAGTTCTGTAAATAACATTTAAATCCACAGTTTCTGAATAACATGGAGGGAGGTTGCTAACAATTTAAAATTTATAATAAAATATGATTTGTTTTTCGGTCATGGGGCCTGAACTCTGGGCCTGGGCACTGTCCCTCAGCTCTTCAGCTTAAGGTGAGCACTCTACCACTTTAACCACAATGCCACCTCTGGTTTTCTGGTTGTTAATTGGAGATAAGAGTCTCACTGACTTTCCTGCCCAGGCTGGCTTTGAACTGCAATCCTCAGAGCTCAGCCTGCTGAGTAGCTAGGATTATAGGCGTGAGCCTGTATGATTTTTAAATATCACAAAATATGAATTTTAGTCATAATTTCAGTCACAGGTTTGTCTTTCTCCTCAAAATATATATGTATATGTATACACATATACATATACATGTGTGTGTGTG